TGAACAAAAAGTAACGCCGTCAGGGGGATTTGTAACGGCGTTAACGTAGCAGGGAGAGTGTGCATGCAAAAGTATATTACAAGGGGGTATGGCGCAATTTTTAAAATATAAGGGGAAAACGCGCAGATTTAGTATATTACAGGGGGGTTTGGTGCAATTTACCCAATATATAAATAATAATTGTTACATATAATATATAAATAATATATATATTACGATTATTATATATATATATTTTATATTTATATATATAATATATTTTATATTACGATTAATATATATGTAATATATATTACGATTAAAATACGTATAATATAATATAATATATATTTTATATTTATATATAAAATATATTTTATAATAACTGTTACATATAATATTTTATATTTTATATTATATTACGTATATTTTATATTACGATAATATATAAATAATATATAAAATATATTTTATATTTTATATATTTATATATAAATAATATAAAATATATTTATATATAAAATAATAACTGTTACATAAAATAATATATATATTACGATTAATATATATATGTTACATATAATATATAAATAATATATTTATTATATTTATAATATAATATATATATTACGATTATTATATATATATATATTTTATATTATATATATATAATATATTATAGATAAAATTTATAATAACTGTTACATATAATATATAAATAATATTATATTATATATAATATTATATAAAATTCTTGGATGGCATAATCGTAAATTCTTGGATAAAGGAATTTTATAATGATAAATTGAACAAAAAGTAACGCCGTCAGGGGGATTTGTAACGGCGTTAACGTAGCAGGGAGAGTGTGCATGCAAAAGTATATTACAAGGGGGTATGGCGCAATTTTTAAAATACAAAGGGAAAACGCGCAGATTTAGTATATTACAGGGGGGTTTGGTGCAATTTACCCGACAAATAAATAGACTTAAGTCCATAATGAAATGAACAAACTCAAACTAAAAAATCTCAAATCTATCCAATGCAAAAAAAAAAAAAGGTACTAGGTCTAGTATACCCAACAACCAATAAAAATATCATAATAATAAATGCATACAAAAGAATATGTTTTGCCTATTAAAAAAAATTGTGAACAATTGATGACTAGACAGGTTTATACTTGGGTCCAAAATTGACTAAAGGTTAGCTTGGTCTCCTTTTTCCAAAATTGACAAAAAGGTGGGCTTGGTCCAAGTTACTTTTTATTGCATTAAAATACATATTTTTATAGACTTAATTTATTTCCTATGTGGCATATGATATTTTATAAAGAGACTCAATGCATTGTGGGTGCTCTTAGAGCATCCACAATGCTTTGAGTTTATTCACAAAAATATACGTGCCACATAAGAAATAAGCATAGTCAAGAAAAATATGTACTCTAATGCAAGTGCAAGTAGACCGGATTTTGCATATGTGGCAGCAAGAAAAAAAAAAACTTGGTCTAGCCTTAAGTCTATTTTAGACCAAAGTAGAGACCTAGTCTCGTTGCATTGAAGTTAAATTTGTTACTTTTTTATATTTTTGTCCATGTCATTTAAGACTTAAGTCTATTAACTTGCCACATAAGCACAATTAGACCCAAAACATTGTAGATGCTCTTATATATTTTATCACCCAAGACTTAAGTCTATTTACTTGTCACATATAATCGAAATTAGACTCAAAGCATTGCCTTTAATTCAGGTTGACTTTTTTCTCATTCATTCAACCCAAGCCCAACATGAGCCGCCCAAGCCCAAGTTTATTTGGGCTCTCCAAATATAATATATGAGGCCTAATATAGCCCAAACCTAATTGTACAAACTAGCCTGGTCGACGCGAGGTTCAGCCCAACTCGCGGGAATACCAGAGCACCGCCTCTCCGATCGTCCTCTTCATCTTTCCCGTCACTAAAATCATCGGCACCGGCGACGGCAATCACCTCAGTTTCTATTTAAGAACAAAGCTTCACCTCATTGTCACTTTCAGGAATTAAGGAGAAAAAAAATAAGAACTAATAATAAAACCGGCGGAACAAAAGAACTGTATTCTGCGCCTCTCCCTTCGGTTAATCTTTAAGCAGCAGCGCGCACGCACAAACCCGGTCTCACGGTGACATCTGAAGGGTAAATTTTTCTGCTTTACTACTAGCATGTGGCCTAATCGTCTAACCCTAATCCCCATTCCCGATTTCCTATAACCGAAGTTCATTCTTTATTTGTTTCTTATTTTCGTTTTTCTAGTTTTTCATAGATTGATGGCTTGATAATCTTGTTTATTGAAAAAGAAATGGTTAAAAGTTAGGGTTTTCACATTCAGAATTTCAAAGGGTGCATTATTTGGTTAATTAATTATTTCATTGTATTTGGGGCCAATATTTTGATAATTCCCTCAAGCCTAGCATGGCCGTTAATTGCTTGTGTCTTCATGAAACTAGTAGCTTGGTGTAGAGAGAACTACCCAAAGAACTATTTTCTTGTAAAAGTATGGTTAAAATATGGGAACTGTTCAGTTTCACAGCTGAAAGGCTATTTAGTTTCGACCGCTTTTCACCCTTGTAACATACTAATTGTAGGGGACTTCGTAGGAGTTTTGGTTCTGCATCTGTTCTTTCTATACCTTCGAGAACTGGCCAGTTTCTATTTTATGAGTAAGTTTCATTAAAAATTCAAATGCTGCGCAAAAACTGTTGTTAGATGTTCTTTTGTTTCTGCACTTTCGTATATCCTCTTTTGATAGGGAACTATGATCCCCGAAATGTATTTATTTGTTCTCGGCACCTTCCTCTTAGTGTCCCATAGCTATATGGCTTAGATTTTCAGGCAAAAGCAAATTGATTTTCTGAATTTCCTTTGTGAACAAGTAGTTTGAGTTGCCACATAAGATATGTTGTCTCTTATGTGGTGATACTATTGTAGTTGCAATATTGCATTACGAGCCCTATGAGATTTCATTCTGTTGGAAGCAGCTTGAGAAAGGTTGTCTGTCGACTCCCAAAGTTGTATCTAATGCTACCAAATGTGGGTTATAACTTATATTGTTCTTTATTTCTTTATTTTTACTAAGCAAAAGGGAATATTGAGAGGATTATGGCTTATCCATGTTATTTAACAGTTGTTGCGCGGAAGTTTTCTACTATTCGTGTATTGTTAATAAGTCACATTCCTGTGCTTTGTTCAGGGTACAACTGGTCTAAACCTTCATAGTATCTCTTGTATCAAGACCTCTAATTGCTCTTTTACTATCCAAATAAGTATGAACTGCAAAGAATCACGTCCTATTCCTCTGCCAGATAATTTGCTAGAGCCTCTGTATGTTGCTTCTGGGACTTCGAATTTGAGTAGAGCTTGCGAATGCCTGATTGAAGCTGCAAAAACACCTGACGGGCGGCTAGATCTCGCCTCCAGAGGAATTCTTTTATCAGTTCTTGAATTATGTCGATATCCACATCAACTTTCTCGTCATGACCTTATCTTATCCTTGAAGCTCCTCAGAAACTTGTGTGCTGGAGAAATTATAAACCAAAACTCATTTATAGATCAAAATGGTGCCGAGATTCTTGCAACTCTCGTTAGCTCATTAGGCTTGATTACTGGTTCTGACGATGGGTTACTTCCTTTGGTATTGCAAGTTTTGGGAAATGTTCCATTGGCTGGTGAACATCAACGTGTTGCTGTATGGCGCCAGTTCTTTCCCCATAAGTTTTTGGATATTGCTAAAGTTCAACGCAAGGAAACATGTGATCCGTTGTGCATGGTTATCTATGTATGTACTGAAGGTAGCAATGAACGGTCTTTGGAACTGTTTGCTGATGCAGGACAGTATATCATTGTTGAAATTTTGCAGACAGTTACAAAAGGTAATACTTTGTTATTTTCTAAATATTAAACATATTGCTTGTTTCTGTTGAATAGTTTTTTTTTTTTTTTTTCAAATGTTTCCTGATTTTTTGTTTTATAGCTGGCTTCAGGCAAGATTGGGTGAAGTTGCTCTTATCAAGGATTTGCATTGAAGAACCTTGTTTTCCATCAATTTTCTCGAAACTATCTCGAGTGGCTGAAGCTGTGAACTCCAGTGAGGTTAATAGTTTCGGACCTGAGAAAGAATTCCTGCTGCGTATCCTCTCAGATATACTAAATGAGCGAGTTGGAGACATTGTTGTTTCCGGTGATTTTTCTTTGTGCATTTTCGAGATATTTAAAAGCGCTCTTGGAGTAGTTGACTTTAGCAAAAGGGGAAACTCGTCCATTCCGACTGGCTCCACAGACATTGATGTAATGGGCTTCACTCTTTCCATCTTAAAAGATATTACTGCTTGTAATAAAAAAGTTACCAAGGAGGATGAAAAAGAAGATAATGTAGATAAGCTAGTGGCAGCCGGGCTTGTTAAATTTCTCCTAGACGTGCTACGTGGCTTGGAGCCTCCTACAACTATCCGGAAAGCAACGATAAACAGTGATGATGCAAGAAATGAAACAACTTCGCGGGATTACAAGTACTGTCCTTACAGAGGCTTCAGGAGAGATATTGTTGCCGTTATTGGAAACTGTAGCTACCGAAAAAAGCATGTTCAGGATGAAGTAAGAGAACAATGTGGGATTCTTTTATTGTTACAACAGTGTGTGACGGATGAAGAGAACCCATTCTTGAGGGAGTGGGGCATCTTTTCCATGAGAAATATTTTGGAAGGGAATATAGAAAACCAAAGACTGGTTACTGATTTGGAGCTCCAACAAACCGTGGATAGCCCTGAAATATCTAAGCTGGGCCTCCGAGTAGAAGTTGATCCAACGACTCGCCGCCCAAAGCTCATTAACACATCCTGACGATATTTGGGACGACCTTTTTGACTTTGTTTTCAGTTGGTACAGAAAAGAATCAGTTCAATCAGGTCAGTTTCGGGCTAATTAAGTTCATGCATTTGATGCTCTGCTTAGTGAGTAAACCCACTTTACATATCTGTAGCTTTTGAGATGTGCATTGTTTTGGAGGGACACTTTTTGGGTATTTCTGGTTGTTAATGAAATTTTTGAATGAGGATTTCGTTTTTTAGTTGTGTGTTGAAAATATTGTAGACTTAAAAGTGACGTATCTGTTTAATGTATATTTTGTTCATCGTTTATTAGGCGTTTAATGCATGATCGATGGTGGTTGGTTTTCGACACCCTGTGTACCTTTTTTTTCCCCTATGCCAGTGGAATCTTTGTTTGGTGGGATTACTAGGTTTCCATTATTGAAAGTGATTGTGCTTCTGGCTTTTTACGACTTATGAGTAGTTGGTTATACTTATAAGTCATTATAGGTAAGAAAGATTTATCATTAGATGGGGTAAAATTTGGGTAAATTTGTGGCTTCTGTATATTGTCTACTTCTGATTTTGGTCATATTCAGCTCACACCAAATACACGGCTTTGTCCTTAAATTTTTGTTTTCCAAATTCAGGTGTTTACATGAACAAAACATCTTATGAAAATATTAGCAAATTGAGTGATATGTATGCCCAAGCAAACGCGCACAGTTAGTAAATTTGACTTGCACTGAGTGGACTCGGTGAATTTTAATACAGAAAATGGGGTGTGAGCAATGGTGCGGGTCACTAAATTGCACCGAACCGCAAAAATCGAAAAAACAAACGTAGCAAAAAAAAATAACTGAATCACACAGCAACTTAGGAAAAAAAAAAAGACAAATTAAATTTTTTTAACACAAATAATTGAACCGAACCGAATCCCACCGAAATGCATGGATCGGCTCGGTTTTTGTTTTCTCTCAGTTTTTCAATATATTTCATCGAACCGAACACAATAAAAAATTGAACTTATGAAAACTATAGTCGCGTCACATCTTAATATATGAAAAAACTGAATCAAAATTGAACCAATTTCTTTTTACATAAAAAAGATAAAAAAGTTCAAATCGAATTACACGAAAACTGAATCAAAATTGAACCAATTTCTTTTTACATAAAAAATAAATAAATAAATTGAACCGGATCGAATTATATGGTTTTGCTCGATTTTGCTCACACCTAAGAACAAGGATAGTCCTCCAAAAAAGTCAAAGATGCCATATTTTTATTTAAATTCTAAATAATTAAGAAGTCACACATATTACATGTGGAACAAGTGACTTGTGAGATCATGTCTAACAAGTAACAACAATTCTAGTGCTTTTAGAACAGGAAAACAAGATAACTCATAAAATTCTTGCCAGCAAAAAGTGCCCTTTATAAGAAAGCAAACTTTACATGAAAGAAAGCAAACCAGCTATGCATTATAATATGAATATGAAAGCTAAAGAGATAGAATAACTAATCTATGAACCATATCATTGATTTGTTCATTATCATTGGTATTACCAACACAGAGCCTATACAAATTGTGTCTGCCAAAATAAAAAAACAAACCAGTAGAAATCAAAAAAATTATAAAAATAAAATAAAATAATAAAAACTGATAATCAAAAGATAGGATATATTTGCCTTTTGTCATTCACCCTCAAAACTTGTACTCACTATACAATTTACTGCATTTCAAAAACCTTGATCGTTCACAAACTCATGAGTAAAAATTTTACTGAATAATCTCTTCCCTTTCCTTGCACCATCTCAAGAACTCACACTGGATGATCGTATCAAGCACAACAAACACCGAATACAAGCACGAAACGAAAATCCCCTCCATCACAAGCAAGCCCGAATAATTACGACCCCAGTCCTCACCGTAATAAGCACACACGACGCGATACTGGAAAATTGCCTCGATGGCCGCAAAAGCCATGTTCGTAACCACAGCCAACCATAACCCGGTTCCGATTCTACCCCGGACCGCAACACATGCCTTGGCAATCGAGACGAACCCACCCTCTCCCTCGACTCCCGAGAAAACCAACGCTAAATTGCACAAAACGTACAAATTCGCTACGACGATCGAGTAGACTACTAAACCTACTAAACCCCCGGCGGGCCCCGCCAAAGAAGGAAGGCCTAAAAAGTCGAGAAAAACGAAATTACAGGCGGTGAGAAAGAAAAAGCAAGCCGCGTTCGCCGAGAGCACGACAAACGAGCAACACACTTGGGTGATGATA